GCAACTCTTACAAGCCATGTACAGCATTTACTGAGTAAGAGTACATGTTGCTGTGCTCTTAGAATAGGAATTCAAGTACTTTGTGCAACTCTACAGCAGTCCTAGTTGCAGGGAGTCTACAAACAAGGAAGAAAAAACTGCTCATCTTGATTATTTTAACCTGATTGCACCTTACTCCAACATGACACAAGTCACAAATAACATTTCCTGCAATTTGTCACACAGTGTTTAGAAGTCTGTGTTCACAACCAGAACATCTGATAGGGTGTGTGTGAAAGAAAGGGGTGTATGGAAGGGACATCAGCATCAGCGGTAGGCAAGTTTTCAGATGATGAAAGAAGTTGTTCTACAACTCAAAAATTTTAAGCCCTTCCCACTTTCTTCTGATCCTAGAGATAACACTTTGTTGAAAGCAGAGAAAGAAAAGCAACTACTGGTATATTTCCTTCATACAATTCAATCATTTGTTGAAATCCCATCTGCTTCATGCAAAAAATTTACTTTAGAGCCTGCTGAGAACAATGGTTCATTTATGTTTTTCAAGAATTCAGTATTTTTTGTCCCTTTGTTAACATGGCATAAACAAGGCCATTCTTTCACAGAGACGGTTTTACCAATACTGCCTTATATTTTGTATTATATTTAGGATTTTGACAGGTGTTTTAAAGTTGAAAAGGAACAAATTTATTATTCTGTTTCTGGTGTTAGAGAATCACTTCAGGCTTGATTTTAGGCTTTCAACCCCTAAAATTAAGTATTCTTAAAAAGTGCAATATTTTTAATGTATTTAATGTGTTGAATTTGGAGACATGAGGAGATTGCTAGCCCATCTTAGTACACTGCAAAATTGTCTGCAGACCAGCCAGGTTACTGCAGTTGAAGTTGTCCCAGGAGGAACTCGAGCAATACTTTATGAAAGGTCTTACAAGAGGTCACTTCTGTCATATAAGGGTACTTCTGTGTTCTCATCAATCTACATCTTCTCTCTAATTGTGAGACATAAAAATCTCCAAATTAAATTATGACCATTTTTCCACGTAGCAGATTATTCTTGAAGAGGAGACATCTTCTGTAACTTTTGCCATCTCAGAGTTAAAGGCTAACCTAAGTTAGTCACTTAGATACAGGTAATGTGAAGAGACAGTACCTCCTGATTCCTCCTTTCTTAATGTAAGTCCCTATTGCACTGGTGACAGGACAGCTAAGAACTAATTTAACCTACCCAGTGGTCTTTGAGCTTTTAGAGATTAAAGTCAGGTAGGAGAATTTTCTACTAATACTTCCTGCTGCAGGAACAGTCTACTTAGAGGAAAAATCTTCTAACACCTCTTCCATCAAGTAGCTGCCAAAATTATACCAAAATTATGGTCAGAACTGAAGGCTGTAAGCCAAATTCCAAATAATCCAGGACACTTTTTTATTTGTGTATATTTGCTATTAAAAATATGTGTATTATATGTCTAATTATTTTTTTCCCTTAGGTAATAACTTTCATGAATTGATCTGATGTATGCAGCTAGGACAAAACTGAGTATCAGAGACTAAAAATTTCATTACTCTATTTGGAAATTTCTTCCTGTGGATGTGAAAACTCAGAAATACTGACATAACCTCAGCTGGGAATGTTGACCTAAGGAGTTACAGGAAAGTGTACGGGACCTCTAAATGCTCTCTGAGCTAAAGTCTAGATGTTTATACTGAAAGGAATAAATTGCTTCTTGAAAATAATGTATTACTCATTGGTAAAGATGGTGGTATATTGCTTTCTCGGTTCTATTTTTCTCCTGTTTACTTTCATGTATTATTCCTTGGATGGGACTCATCACCTACTGAAAGAGATGTATAAAGTGGGCCAAATTTCCACATAAAACTGAAGTTCCTGCTGATCAAATTGCCTAGTATAGAGTCAGTATAGATATTCTGAGTATGAATTACCTGGCAATGGATAAATAAATCAATAAATAAAGCAATCAGGGAAAACTAAGTTATTCAGTAATTGTTTTAGTGAATGAATATAAACTGAACCTAGCGGGTGACCTGTGGAAGGTAAATAAAAACATTAAATGAACTGCAACAACTAATGTAACATACTTGGTAGGAAATGAAATAAACTGCTTGTCAGCTTTGTATACTTTTGCCTATCCCAAAAGTACATAAATGGTGTTACGTAGATTTAAAAAGATTTGAAGAATGTAGATAATGTTCCCAGAACTGATATCCATTAGTAACTATTTTCCTCAATATTGTCTTAATATTGTAAAAAATTAAGGACCCATTGCTTCTGAAAAAATGTATAACAACCTAACAATGTGGACATGAATGCCAACGGTGAGGAAAATAAAGGTATTTATTCAAAGGAACATACTCATATCAGTTTGAAGATGTAGGTAAATGTTTGATTAGTTTTCTAGGTTAAAAATATTCAGCCATGGAACATGTGACTTACTTCTTCCTTAATGTCACTCTAACAAGTATAAAGAAGGTCTGAAAGAATAAAAGACTGTGGGGAGCTATTTTGTCCCAAATAACTTTATTTTTACTTATGCATCTTTACATGTGTATATGCCAAGCAAATATGTGTATTTTTTTACTTATGAATCTCAGGAACACTGAGCTTCTTAATATGTTTGAAGGTTTCCTGGTAGTTTGAGGTTTGTTTGAGTTCTTGAAGCCTTGATCAGGAAGCCCAAGAGTTGGTGCTGCAGCAAAGAGATGCTTCTTCCTTGGAATTTCGCCCAGTAGCACTAATTTCTCTCTGTTGACACTAATTTCCCTCTGTTGACTGTAGGCAAAGTCTAGATGACAAGTTTTGTCTGGATGCCTAATTTAATATGGTATTATGGCGTTTTTAGAATGATCTATATATTGGACAGAAATCTTTAATGGTTTTCAAATCTAATCCCAAAGAGGTTTTGCTCTTTGTTTTCCTACAACATCTTGAAACCAAACCAGACCTCCCTGCCTATTGCTGTAAATAGCGTGAAGACATCAGCCAAAGATATTTTCCATATAAATTCAAATTTGGACAGAGAAATGCCCCAAATGAACTATCATGTCATCAAAGGTGATCTATTTTCAAGTAATATACTTGCAATAACAATGATTCACTTCAGGATAATATCTTGAGATCCTTAATGAGGGCAGGGACACATACTACTTGTAGACGTACATTGTCCATACATGTAGTAAAAGGATTCTTCTCGCCAAAACCTATAGAAATAATTCAATAAAATTACTTATTTTTAATTGTTCATGCCAAAATATTAAAGGGTTCAAAAAACAGAATCCATTTGGGAAAACTTAGGGAAGTTAAAATTACTCTTCTACCATTGTACAAACATAAATCTAAAATTTTTAAGGAAAGGAAAGCAATAATTCTTGGTTTACTTATTCCCATGATGTCACTTTCAACATAGGTGTGGTTAAAATCTATCTTTTACATTGGATTCATTTTTACAAGATTATTACATGGAAGTAGTTTGCTTTTAGTTAGGATTGCAACCAAGAACATTTCACTATAAAGCTGTGTATTTTCTCTGTTCAACTGAGAAAAATTCATTTTGTCTGAAAAGTTTCCAGATGTATTGTAACTACCAAGTATGTTTTGTAGAGTCTGAAAAAAATCAGTCACGATCTTTTCTTAAGCTTGGCTTTATAGAAGGTTATCTAATTCTAATAAAAATTCTAATAAAAATGAACATAAAATTTCTATTGATTCAAATGTCATAAATAAATTTCTATATTTTTTAAGGTAATAATCTAAATATATACTTCTATAAGTTGCTTTTTCTATGTAATATGTGTTATAGGTCCAGTTCTGCATCTATTGAATTATGCTTCCTGGAAGTCATGGGCCTGATATCATCTGTTCTGTCCTGTGGAATTCAGTGCAGGCAGGCACTGAACAATGCCAGTCCTCTTTGTGCCTTGTATAGGCACTGACGGCTGTGAAGCATCAGCATCAATCATTGTTGTAAATGATGATTGGGCTGCATTTTGCACTCTTATTGTGCATAATTTGCAGATGTATAAATGATTGTGCAGCAGGGTGATAAACTGAATCTCTAAGTGTTCTCTTCCATATTTTTTCACAGAAAGCAGCCCTTGTGTGACACTTATAAATTAGATGTCTAGTTAGAAAAATAATCCACTTTTGTCTTCTATCACACCTCTCTCACTGTCAAATAAAATAACTGCTGTACAAGCACTGGTGGTTTGATTTGTGGTCAGGTCTTTGCACCTGTTCACTGTATAAAGTAGCAGTCACACAAAGCCATGCATGTCAGTGTGGGAGAAAATGAAGGCATGGATACAGGGAGCATAGACTAATGTTCCATACATAACTGTAGTGCTTGTTCTGCAATCTCAGTCGTATTTTTGTGTCATTTTATCTGGTTTTAATGTTCTTAATTCAGTTAAGTACACAGAAAAAACCCTAGAAATTTCTCTCTGCCTTGGTCATAACTAAAGTGGAATCAAGAGCTGTGCAACACAGACTACCAGCATTTGACATTATCTGAATAACTGTTAGAAACATCAGATTTCTATAAATATGGGATGAGTAAAAGATCGTAAATTCTTGAAAAGTAAGAGCACCCAGTGAAAGACTGCCAGTCTTGACTAGTGTTGAATGCTGGAGAACTCCTGATGTTCCTAGATATTTTTACGATGTTTGATTGTTGCCACTGGTAAAATGGTTTCTTCATTTCCAGTGGGGATTGATACAGTTTTTCACCAATGAATCTTGCTCTACTCCCATCTGATAGAAGGAAGTGCCAACTACTACCAGAAGTTTTATCTCCAGATACCTGCAGACTGTGATCAAATCAATTCTTAACCTCATTGACAAGAAAAGTAAATTGACCCTGTTACATCTTTCATGTAATCTGCATGAATAGAATTATAAAAATTTTGTTTTCCAATTTTCAAGTATATTTTGAAACACTGACAGAAGTAGCAGCTTCCTAAGCAGCTACTCTTGACTCCTAGTTTTACTTCCTTTTATCATACACATAAAGGGCTATAGCAAGAGCCTACTTTGATTGTTCATATTTAGCCAATGATCCATGGGGTCCTGTGTACCTTTTCCAAGTTCATTGATTTCCTGAATGCAGTTTTTCAGTTTGTGTGTGATCTACATTTATTTTATTGCATTTGACCATACTGGGATATAACTAAGGCTGCTTTAATGGTGTGACTCCCTTTGTTCCATAAAATTTATGCACATTACTGGTTTCTATCTTTTTTTTGGAGTCCACAATTTTCTTCAGCAACAAGCTTATACTTTTTTCCATATTTCTTGTCAAGATATTGGATGGCATTGAAAGAATGGCAAACCCACTAGGAATTACACTGAAAATATGCACATTGAATACTGATTGATTGTCTTCAAGTTTTCAGATCACCCAATTTTTAATCTTTTGATATGTTTAATACCAGATTCTGGTCTTTTATGACTGCTATTGGGTAGTCCTCAGCTAGTACAAATCTTCATGTATTTATTGGGAGGTTGGTTGGTTATGAATGTTATTTGTTCTTGTAAGTATCAGATGGAACTGTCCTTGTGACCTGTTCAGAGACATCATGAACCAGAAATTCCTATTTTATTCCTCTCCTTTTAAAAATTCATTGTTATATCTGTTTTTAATGTATTGCCTGTCTTAAAATGACCAAAGATGATATTGTGGTCAGTTGTTCAATTTTATTTTAATATCATATACAAAATATCCATTCTACATTGCAACTTAATATATTTTATATAAAATCCAATGTACAGTATCTTAAATTTGTTTAAATAGTATTATAAACATAACTTTCAGGAAGAGTCAGTCCTGGAGTGAAGCAGTTCTGTTAATCAAAGTTCCTTTTGATATCCCTGCTGTTCAGTAAAAAATCCAACTTAGATTCTAGAAACATCCTCACTGCAAGAATAAACTCCCAGATTTTTATTTTTTCTTTCAACTTTGTGTTTCCCACACAGTGGATAAAATCCAGTGTTTGGGTGTCCAGTTTGAATGTCATTTGTTATCATCTGCTTCAGAGCTCATCTTCATCTGATAAAGCGTCAAGGTAATCTGTGTCAACGTATAGGAGAAATCCAGAAAACAAACTGTCTGCCCACGTTGGATCAGAAAAGAGACCATTTTGATCAGTGTAAAAGATCTCAAGCCATACTTCATCTTCTGGCTGAAGGTAGATCACCGTGGACCCAGAAGCTACATCATGGTTGCCCGTGTTAGCATCAAATGTCTTTATCCGGTACTTCCCATTGTGGACCAGCCCAATCGCAAGATGCTTGTTTGCTAAGGTGATATCATAAGAAAAATAATAAATCCCTGGGATGGCACAAATGAACTTCCCTGTGGAAGGGTTGTAATGCTCCCCCTCATTGAAGAGGACTTTATTGAATACAATTGGTAATCTTTCCTCTGGGTAGCTCGTGGTGATGCCAACAGAAAAGGCAGATTTCAGCACTATCTTTCCACACTTACAGACCCCTGGGGCACCAGGCTCTCCTCGGTCTCCTTTATCTCCCTTAGGTCCAGGTGGTCCAGCTGGACCTACTTCACCTTTGGCACCAGTCAATCCTCCAGGTCCTTTTTTACCAGAGTGACCTTGGTCTCCTTTCTCTCCAGCTGGTCCTAATGGCCCAGTCTTTCCTCTTAAACCTTCAAAAACATTTTAAGTTAGTTAATTGTTTCACATATCACCTCAGTTAAATGATTTTGTGGGCTACTGGGTGTGCCTGAACAAACAAGAAAAAGAGGGTCAGAATTTCAAAATACTCCAAAAATACTTTCAAAATCTTCTAGTAAGTTTGTGAAAAGAATGCCAGGTTTGAATAAATGACCAGGCCTCACAGCCTGCAGGTCCTTTATTTCTATATTCCTACTTTTCTTCATATGTCTTGATTACGCATTGAAGAATCTATATGTAACCAGTCTGTTGCTGCCTGAACTACAGGCACTGTTGATAGGAAGGACAGTGGTTTGGCTACTTATGTAGTGATGATTATGCACTAAATATCTCACACAATTAGAGCATTTTTAGTGTGTACTTAAGTACCTGCTAATCTTTTACTCCTGGCTAAGGGCACAAATAAGACTGTTTATTTGACACCACACATGGTTCATTCTTCCCAAACTTTTAGCATCTGTGTGCAGGAAGGCTGTGTATTTACTTTTCTTTACACTGATGTCAACATGTGCATATTAGACATATCTAAAATAAGTCTGCATATTTTCTTTCTCTCACTATATGTATATATATGCATCACACTTAAACCCACACAGACACATACACACATTCATCATGTATCTGTTTATATATATATATATATATATGTATGTATGTATAACAGTAATGATGAAATGTCTTTGTTGTGTTAGGTTACACAAGTATTCAATACCTGCACTCCCTTTTTCACCTTTTTCTCCCTTCCTGCCATCTCTACCATCTCTTCCTGGAAGACCAATGCGTCCATGTGGCCCGGGGATCCGCTGGCTCCAGGGGGACCTGCAGGGCCTGGCAAACCAGGGATGCTACAGATGTATCTGGTGTAGTAATTTTCTCCTTTGAGCTGGCTTTGAAGTGGTTGCTCACTTGTATAGATGGCAAAACTTGTAATGTACAGCAACACAAACATCCTCACATCTGGAAAAAATACATATGAATAAGACTATGCATATTATGTCTCATGCAGATGTCTCTGAATATGCAAATAAGTGTGACATTGTGATGCATTATGCACAGGTATGGGTGCAGAGCTCGATCTGCGATTTCTGCATTACCAAAATCCATGTAGGAGGCAAGGAGGAAATAGTATGACAATAGTATTACTGGTGAATATCAGCTTTTTTTGGCCAAATGTTGAAACATGAAAAAAAGAATCTGGATTTTTCAATTCAAAGTCCTTTGCTTGCCTAGGTTTATTTTGTCTTTAGGCCCTACACAAGCTTCCCAGAGAAAAGCCCTCTTGCTGAGGGAGTTATGTCTGCATTAGGAGGATGTGCCTGTAGGAACAGTCTCTTCTAGTGAGGATAAAGCTTATACTTTCATTTAATTTTGAAATTTGCCCTTATCGTGGAAAATGAATCTCCAATTCAGATAACCGCAGCAGAAACTTGCTGAACCTGCAGAAAGGATGGCACTAAGAGAGCTGCAGCTTCAGTGCCTGGTTGGAAAGAGCACAAATAACCACTTCACCCTAATCGGTCAGGTGGAATCAGGCAGCGCCCTGCAGGGGAACGGATGGAGTGTGAATGGGCTGCTAACAGGTTTTTTTTTAGCCCTGTCATATGAAATGAACTGTGTTGCAATGTCTTGCAAGAAAATTGTTTAAAGCTTTATATATAGTATTTGGTTGTTTTCATAAACTATTTAATGGTGATTACACTTCTCTGTTTCACTGTGTCCTGGGATACTAAAGAATAGTCACTGTACAAACAGTGACATGCTGAGGGGTTGCAGTACCTGATATACAAAGGTGTCTTAATTTAGTGTTGCATGGGTCAGGTGAGAATCTGCAAGCCAAACTGTTTTTAATAATTCCTTTGCTGTCTTTTCAGAAAACTTGTGTGGGGTTTTTTGTTGGAGTTGTCCATTCCTTCAGGGCTAATTTACAGCATTCAAGGAAATCATAGTCCACTGGGCTCTGTGGGGAGAAAAAAGAAGAAATAGAATGGGGGATTGAGAAAAATATCTGTGTGAAATACAACCTACATTTTTTACAGTGAATCATAGAATCATTAAGATTGGAAAAGACCTTTGAGAAGATCAGCATGTCCAACCATCCACCTAGCACCATCACCATGTTGACCACATGTCACATTCACACATTTCTTGAACATTTCCAGGGATGGTGGTTATACCATTTCCCTGGGCAGCCTGTTCCAATGCCTAACAACCCTTTCCATGAAGACATTTTTCCTAATACCCAATCTAAACCTCCCTTGCTGCAGCTTGACATCATTTCCTCTCATCTCCCACTTGTTGCCTGGGAAAAAAGGCTGAGCCCCACCTCGCTACAACCTCCTTTTCAGGGCATTATAGAGAGTGATAAGGTCTCCCTGAAGCCTCCTTATCTCTAGGCTAAACAACCTCAGCTTGTTCAACTGCTCCTCATGAGTCGTATTCCAGGCCCTCCACCAGCTCTATTGCCCTTCTCTGGACACACTCCAGCACCTCAATGTCTTTCTTGTTGTGAGGGGCCCAAAACTGGACACAGCATTCAAGGCTGAGCACAGGGGGGCAATCACTGCCCTTATGCTGCTGGCCACACTATTTCTAATACAAGCCAGGATGCCCTTGAGGTTCCTGACCACCTTGTTCAGCTGCTGTCAAACAGTGCTCCCAGGTCCTTTTCCACTGGGCAGTTTTTCAGCCACTGCACCAGCTTGCAGTGCTTCATGGGCTTGTTGTAACCCAGGTGCAGGACTCAGCACTTTGCCTTATTTCCCTTCATACTCTTGGCCTCTGCCTATTGATCCAGGCTGTCCAGATCCCTCTACACAGCCTTCTTATCCTATAGGAGAACAGCATTCCTGCCCAACTTAGTGTCATGTGCAAAGTGACTTGTGTGTGCTCTTGGTCCAGATCACTGATGAGGATATTAAACAAGGCTGACCCCAACACTGAGCACTGGGGATCACCACTGGTTACCAGATTCATTCTCAAGCTCATAGTCAAAGAAATTGCATAGTGAATTGATCTAGAAATTCTTGTTCTCATTCCTTTCTTTGTGATACTGATTGGTGGTGACTGACTGATTTAAACTCCCAAACCACTACCTTTATTTACAGTTCATAAGTACATTTCAACAGGTATTTGCCCGGGTCAGATCTATTCATCATGGAAAAGACTAGCTTATACACATACATGTACACATATACAGTCTTTATGAAGAATCTTTTCTGTTTTACAGAACAGAAAATTAGAAACTGTCTTGGTATAAGTGGTAATGCAGGAAAAAACATGAAAATGTTTTAGTTGGGGAGAAATAATCGATGCTCCAAAATTCTCCTCAGTGATACAAATTCCACTTTTCATATTAAGCATCTTGTGTCAAATTGACAGAAACCAAACTATTGATTTTGCCATCATTTGATAGAGACTTACAGTCAGGCACAACAGCCTCCACGAGTGGATTAGCATATGAATGCTTAACATTACAGCAGAACAGCAAAAAATAACTCCAAGGCAGTTGTTAGCTACAAGCACAAACTTCACAGTGACGTTTGCTCTGAGGTACTACTGAGCGAACCCAAATAAAGCTTATGGATTTTCATAGGACTTAAATCAGGGACAACAAAGCTCTCTGCAGAGAAGAACAACTTTAAACACGTAGCCAGGAGGGAACAGTCTGGAGGGAGTTCATGCTTAAGAATGCATATGCATTTTACACAAAGATTGTGGATAAGAAGCAGACACAAGCTAAGGATCCAGGACTGCAAAAAAATCCTGCCCTTTGCCAGATGAAAGTGTAAATCAGTAGGCCAGGTGTTCCCACACTGTGTTGCATGTAATCCAAGCAAAAAAAGTCTCAACAACTACTGCTTTTGCCTGTGTCCAGGACCTTTTACAAATCAGAGTAAGAGCTGACACACAGCTGCTCCTGTCACTGGCTGGCTGGTAACTTATTGATGTGTGAATCTGTCTCCAGCTCCCAGACCTCCCCCACTGTTCTTCTCATGTGCCTACAGGAAATTAATTAGTCTGGGACATGTATTTCTGAAAAGAGCATGGGAAAAAGGTCATTTGGGGAAGGTGAGAGGAATGGGGTTGTTGAAATAGGAATGTGTCTTAGAAGCCTGGGGTGTTGTGGTTGGACAATCAGTTTCGGAAGGAGAAGGCAGAGAGGGGAATACACAAAGCTTTCAGTTATGGTTTGGAGATCTTAAGGGGTAATGGCTCTGTGAAGCAGAATGGTGGGACTGCAGGAAGGGGAACAGAGCTGGATTGGGAGATAATGGGGAGAATGTTCAGGTGACGATGTTTACGGGACTGAATTTAGTCTTGGGGGGAACACAAGCTGCTTCCAACAGTGGTAGACAACAAATGATATTCAGGAAACTGGGCATTAGGCCAGAGAATCAGAACTTCTTTTGCTCTTTGATTTCAGACTCTTCCATTTCTTCATGCATAGGAGTGGTTGTTTTAAAAGGAGGGTGGAAGGTGCCTTTCTGTTATTGCAGAAGTCTCTGGAAGGTGTGAATCTCTTCAGACCAAGGGAGGATGTGCAGTGTTGGACCCATGCCCCTGTTTCCCAGTGTGTGCTCTAAAAGCACCATTGTAATGCTAAAGGTGAATAAGAACATACAGCCATGGTTTTTTTTTAAATTTCAGGCTGAATTAGGAGGCCAAAATCAGAGATTTCAGTTCACATGGGCTTATGAAGTTAGAGGCTGTAATAACCTCTCAGATCACTTTCTCAGGAGTCACCTAAGTTGCGCTAAAATATTTGTTGCCAGAGAGTTAACTGGTAGGCAGAAAGTGAGTCATAAATTACACTTTGTTCTTGGCCTCTGGTTGTCCTTCTCAAAGATACAGACTTTTGTCCATAAACTGGGGTAGGAAACAGAGTCATTTATATCTGCCAAGTAATTTTTCTCCAGGGGAAAGCAAAATTTGAACAGTTCAATGTATTTTTCCAAATACTGAAAGCCAGAACAAGCACATTTTTTACAACAATAAGAGTCATCTTCATCATAACCATCAACAAAAATAATAAAAAGAATTGTATGAACACAGGGTTAGAATAATGTTATTCCAAGTGTAGGAAACAGCATTTCAGTAAGTTTCAAATCTACTGGGCAGAGCAAGAGTGCACATCAAGGCATTCACTGGAAGGCCATGGGCATGCTGATCAGTTCTAATCATAGAATCATACTATAGTCTGTGTTGGAAGGGACCTTAAAGATCAACTAGTTCCAACCTTCCTACTGTGGGCAGGGACACTTTTCACTGGACCAGATTGCTCAGAATGATTTCTGGAATATATTTTCTAAGTGAAAGTGGCCGATTCCTTTGTTCCATCACTGTTCAAAAGGTCATCTCGTTCGTTTGATAGTGGTAAAACACTGAAAAGGGATTCTGGATCTAATACCTTGCTGCAGTTAAGTTGGCAGGTCTAAAGAATCCAAAGCAGTGTGACCAGCAGGTTGAGGGTGATGATTCTGCCCCTCTGGTCCGCTCTGGTGTGTCCCACCTGGAGTGCTGCGTCCAGCTCTGGGCTCCCCAGCACAGGAAAGACATGGACCTGTTGGAGCAGGTCCAGAGGAGGGCCACAGAGATGATCAAAGGGCCTGAGCACCTCTCCTATGAAGACAAGCTGAGAGAGTCAGTACTTGAGCAGGGCTCTTATAAGAAAGATGATGACTGACTTTTTAGTAGGGTCTGTTGCGATAGGACAGTGAGTAATGGCTTTTAACTAAAATAGGGTAGATTTAAACTGGATACAAGGAATTGCAGGGGGGTTGGGCTAGGTGACTTTTAAAGGTCCCTTGCAACACAAACTATTCCATGATTATATGTTCTACCTTGAGAATGTACTCTGTAAGCTGCATTCTCATTGAAGTTAGGTGCTGGGCAGAGGGTCTTTAACATCAAGGTATTAGGAAATCTCATTTCAGTACTGGTATACTCTGACTATGTCATTAACATTTTTTTAAATTTAGGAATTAAGGAGTTGTAGCAAATTCCCAGTTTTGAGACTTCCTGGTATATGATCTAATCTTTCTTCCTTGTCCAACTATGCAGAGCTAATTCTAAAATTTACTAATTTGCATTGTTTTGAAACAATCCTAGGAGATTTCCCCTGAATCTGTTATAAATAAAAGCTGGGACAAGGGCCAATAGCTATTAGTCACAAGTTATCATGGCTGTGTTCTTGGTTTCCTTGCTAGATTCAATTCCCTTCCAATACATATTCATAACTGTTTGAGCAGCAGAAGAGGGTGTGTTTTAACTTCCTTGTGCAAGAAGATGTAGACGACAAGTTGTGATGCTTGTGGGCCTTTTCTGTTGCAGCACTGGCAAGGGACCAGTGGTGAAGAAAAGATAGTCTATATATCCTCTGGCTTTCTAAAAGCAAAGGCCCATACTACCTCACTTTGCTACCTTGAACCCTCACTGTGAGATGTACAGACCTTCCCTGACTCTTCTGTCCAGTAGCTGTGGTAGGAGAAACAAGGTGGAGAAGGTAATAAGTTAGGATGAGAAGCAGAGAGGGACACCTTAAAAAATTTGGTTGAAATCTCACTGGCTGTGCCTGTCTTTTCCCTCTCAAAACATGATCCACGAAAGTCAGTTGTGTCCACATGCCTGAAGGTTTCAAATCTGCCAGTCAATTTGCCACCACCACTGACCTTTCTACAAAGCCTCAGAAACAGTGGCTTACAGTTTGGCACACTAGACTCTGCAGTTTCTTTGCAGAGTATGATTTTTGTGCCATTTAAAATACAAGTCTTAAATGGGGATTTTTTTCTCCCCCCCTTCTTTTTTTTTTTTTTTTTTAACATTTTTCATCCATCTTCAATTGGCAGCAGTTTTATGCATCTCCCAGCTTATTTTGTGTTATGGCAGACTATGCTGGACTTCCAGAGCTCCACCCATTAAGACCATGCCTTACTTTAAGGAATCAAGAGCACAGTTGGC